TGCTTTAGTTCTGTATACACAAGGGTAGTTTTTCAATAAATAATAAGCATGGTTAACTAGTTGTCCAATTGATTACTTTCAATTTTTAGGGTCACAGTATATTAATAATGGATGCTCCATGGCTTACACTGTATTTGGAAAGCGATTGTAAATAATAAATGATGCTGATCTATAATCAATATAAACTCAGCTGTAATGTTGATATTTTCTTATTCAGATGAAAAAGCTTATTGAGATTTTTTTTTTGTGCATTTGTTTTGGTATCGGAGAGTGTGCACTTAGCTTTTGTATGATGTAGGTCGGTAGAATTGATCTTAGATTAAAACCGTACTACTTCATACAAGTTAGATTTTTATCTTCAATGAACATCATTAGTTTTAGATATCAATGGGTCAAATATGCAGTATGTGTTGAGCATTAACATGAATAGTACAATTTATGTTTAAATATGGTGAAAAGATTGTACAATTTATGTTTAAATATGGTGAAAAGATACAAATATCATTCATTCAGACCGTCTTAACAAAGCAGAAAAGAGAATGTAGTTCTAAGTCTGTAAAAATGAAAGTGGACAAATAGATGGTATGTGTGTCTGAGTGTTTAAACACGATATGTTGGCTAACAAGGTGGAGATGTTAGAAATCGGGCGGAACTTGGACAAGTTTGTATAAAGAGGTTAACAGGTATCTTCAGCAACACACAAGTTATGTCTCGAGATTATTTCTCTATAGTCAAAAATAACACCAACATTTTCATCCCTGTTGTTTGTAAAACAATGAATATTAATGGAAATAATTTATTGTTTACTAGATGACTAAAAAGAATGTCAATATTCTAAATTTGATATCACAAATAGGCCCACTTATTTAAAGATACATTATGGGAGGTTACATAAAGATCTGGCAGTTCTCACTATAATAGTTAAAAACTAGATAATGTAAAGGAAATTTGCTGAAAATTTCAGTCAAATTGATCCACTCTGAACCAAGAATTTAGCGATTGAATTTTCGGTCTAGCCTCGATCATCATTATTAAAGTTGGTACGATAAAAAACATAGTCTTGATTATCCATTTCATGATTAAATCATGAATGAAAGTCGAGCAGAAAATCGGATCATAATCCAGTAAATATCGTAGGCTAGCGATGACATTGAGAGTTGATTATGGTTTGGATAAGTTAATTAATGTCTAATTAAGAATTCAGATAACAGTTCAGGCCTAAAGAAAGACCTACAATAGGCAGATTTAGCTCTTGCATAATGTATGTTTAATTTTAAGCTTCCAGTAATAACCGTAGGTATTAAATACAGGTGAAGATTCCACTTGTCTTGGAGAACCTTATTTCAAAATGTCTTGTACATGTACATGTTTTTCAAGAAGTAATGTTATCATACAAGTGTGTTACAGATTTCAATTGATTGAATATCGTTGACATTTTTAGAATGATGTATTCTGTCTTGAAGACACTAGAAACAGAATTGACTATTCTACATTACAATAGCAAATTATTACACGGTCATATTACTAGCTGGAGGCCATTTATCAGATAACTTCAGACTAACACAAGTTTTGTTTGACACTTGGTTAGTAGACAAGTGATTAAAGAGCTTCACTAGGTTCTCTAGTACACTGTATCGATATTATTGTTGACAGGAAAATATTTGAAAATAATAGCAAAATTTTAAACTTAAATGCCTGGAATATAAACATGCTGTAGAGCTTACTATTTCTACCTGTTGGTCTAGAAAGATCTCCAGGATTTTCCCATGTCAATGGTGCAGGATGGGACAAATAACTTTGGTGTGCACGTAAAAGAACCCTTGACAGTTGGAATCTAATTGCTGTCGGTGCAAAATTTCCCTCATAGTCCGGTTGTTGCAGAAAAGTGGGAAGTTCAACCCCATTTTATTCATTCATTCATTTATACATTTATACCTTTCCTAATAGAACTAACAAAGGGAGATTAGCAGTTGATATAATATCATAATTATGGTCAGGTTGTTGTAAATAGTTTTGTAAATAACATTTAGTACATTGACTAATTTATAACCAAATAATTAATTGGATTATTTGTGTGGAGTGTAAATGAATCAAGTTACGATTATATTATAGGTAGATTACCCTGAACACACCTGTTGAGTGACACATTTCTTGTTAGAATAGTTGAAACATTACTTTTCCTTTGTTGGTCTTACTTGAATGTGCGTGACTCTTAGTTTCCCCAAAGTACTAAATGGCTCTATTTATAGACAAATCATATGGCTATGTCACGTCAGGGCCGTTATGTGGGATTTAGTTTGTACTTCTGTCACTTAACAAATTATAGCAGAATTTACTGATTGAATGAGGTACTTTTAATGGATTATCTTTGACTGATCTTTATTCGATATCCTATTTATTTATTCATTGTTAACCAGGATCATTATATTTGTATTTAACATGAAAATACTTTGTGACTTTTTGATTAGGAAGAAAGTTTATATCTGATAAATATTTTTGCTTATTTAAAATATGTGTCATAATATTCTTTCCATTTATGTTAATTTTTTTTTCTGTGATTCAATTTCACACATGTAGGTTAATTTTTTAGGTGTAGTTGAGCTTATTGATTTTACTCTTAAATAATGAAACGGAAAATTTTTTATTGATAGATAACAGTCTGTGTCAGTTAGGACATAGTATATCTATTAGAATTTACTTATATTATACACGGGTCAAAAGATATTAACAACTGTTAGTTTATATTTCAGTGTTGTTAAGAATCATAACCGAATACCCTAAAGGGGCGTTATCTATATATTCACTCAAGCAGAAATCAATCTCTTTTCAATTTGGTGTATATATGATAGCGTCTTTAGCCAGCCAAGCACGGTTTTGTAGTGTCGCTAAATAAACCGAATAAAAGCCTGTAGTAAATTGCGAACAAGTTACTTATTGTGTAAATATGTTAGCAACTGTGGTGAAATGGCCTTAAGCTTTGTGGGATATTGAGGTAGCTATTTCATAGTCAGATAGCTCAGCTAATATATTTATAAAAGGTGAATAAATTATTTGTATAGACATGCAAGTGATATAGTGCTATAATCTGTTTTTGTGAGCAGCTTACTTGTGTAATGTATGGTAATTACAAGTGAGTGATAGATTATTTTGATAATGTGATTGATGGGCTGAGAACATGAATGGATTAATGCCTAAGGAGTATATTTAACTTTTAACATGAATAAAAATTTGATGATCTTGTCAAGATTTTATGTTATCTAATAAAATATTTACTTAGAATTCATTTAACATTAAAATGCTTAGTATATTTTTTATTTATTTTTTTTTTTCCATGACTATGTATCATTGCATTGTAAATGTTGAAACTGAACTTGATATAAGATTAAATGTATATTTATAAATCCTACTAAGTACTATTTTTATATGATAGGTGATGACATAGTTGAAACAAACTGATAAGACAAACATTTCATAAGACATTAGTAATAGGTGAACAACACATATAAAAAGTGATATAAATAGATTTTTTTTTTTTTAAAGCTTATAACATAAACGTACTATCAGTGTATATTAATTAGTCATTATGAAGATTAATTCAACTGACGGTTTAGGTATACAATTGTGCTATTTTGATACCAAAAATATAGGTAAATGTTCAGTTTATGGAAAAACTAACCATTTTTTTAAAAAAAGAATATAAAAGAGCGGTTTTGTTCTTATTTTTTTCTTTGGGTTTTAGTTATAAACCGAGAGTCGTCATATAATACGTCAAATTAAAAGATACATAGAAAGTTGAAAATGAAATAAACAGTAATGGTTTAAAGGAAATAAATAAACCATCTAAGATTTTAACCCATATTCTAAAACATTGAGTTAGATTATTATGGCAAGTGGACACATCCATTTACTCTTTATTACACTTAACAAGTAGGTTATAGCGCAGATCGAAACTTTTAACTGGTAATCATTGAAGATAGGTCTTAGTGGCAAGATTTAGCTTGTTTTGGCAAAGAGAAAACGTAGCCTGTGGGCAAGTGGCACAAGATAGGGTGCTTAGTCAATTACATAGTTGAGGTTGATATCAGTTAACACAATCTATATTTAGTTCTGCTTTCCTGCGACTGTTTCATTGCTGCAAACAATATGGCAGCCATGTGTGTAAAAGTGATAAAATTGGCTGTAAATTGGCGAGTAGGTTTCACTTTGTTTGAAATTGTTGTAGACCACTGGTTATACAAATACTCACTACACCAGTTGTAGGGGTGAAAATAAATAGTTCAAAAAGTTTTTGTAACTTTGTACTTGCAAGTAGCCTATAAAAACATAGCACATTGAGCTGTCTGGTTTAGCCAGCAACAGGCCACACTAGAAGCTTTTTGGATGTTAAAAATGAGCAAGTGTATTTAAAAGAATTAAATTGAATTTTCTTAGCTTCACTTAAGCTTATGTATTAATATTTTAAAGACATATAAAATAAACCTATTATAAATTTGTTTGAAGCTGTTTAAACATCTTTAAATGAAACGTTTCAGATTAGAAATATTAATAGAATGTGGATAATATATAATCATGTCTGGAAATAACAGGTTTTCGTTGTATCTGACAAACTGAAAATGTTAAAGCACTATTGAACTAGTAACAGATATTTTGAACTTTGTGCCAGGCTTGTTTTAATTATGTCAATAAAAAAACAGAAAAAATACATCCAGCGGACAGAATTATAGGCACCAGAGGGACTGTGCCTGACAAAGCCTAAATATATATGTGCCTGACATTTTCTGATGAGTACTTTATTTCCAGACTTGCATACTGTTTGAAATGTAAAACAAATTTACCAGATTAATGAAAATTGTGTCACTGTGTCCTACTTGGTCAAACTGTTTTATTTATAGAAAATCTATATAAGCTGTCAAATGTCAAATATTGATAACATTGCCTTGGGGAAACTGTGGATAATTCTAATAGAAATTTATTACTGAGTTTTGATTGTCTCTTTTCAGGATCATTAACCTCTTGGTGTGAAGAACTTGGCCGATTATTGTTATTAAGGCATCAAAAAAATCGACCAAACGATTTGGGCAAGGGTCCACCACCAGTCATGCATCCTCAAATGCAGAAGCCTATGCCACCTGGTCATCCAGGGTAAGAAATTTTTTTATGAATTATTGTAAACATTTAGTAATTCTTACTAGTCCCTCCTGTACGATATAGACATTTATTAGCTAAGGTGACTTACTGAATAGGTTGGTCTCACATGTTATTGTTTTTAGCTACGATTGTAGGCCCTTCATTTACATTTGAAAACTCATTTTTCTCATTCAAGTGTGTTGATTTCTTGAAAATTAAGTTTACAACACAATTCCTGGTACACAAAACTCGTTTAAAGGAACTATATTGTTTCTAACAATATCCATTAACTCAGTAAAAAAAAAAAAATGTTTTTTTTTTGGGGGGGGGGGGTACTCTTTTTCTAACCATTTGGCACTTTTTTTTTTACCCAAGTTTCAAATTAGTGTGCAGTGCAAATTTTATCTTGGAATTTATGGAATCAATATTGAAGAAATGTATAGGCCCATCATTGTTTTGAGAAAAGGTGCTACAGTTATTGAACAATTACAGTTGTCTTGATTCTCGACAGCTATCAATGGGCCTTCAAAAAGCCTTGTATTACTACCTTATCATTTCTAGTAGGGCTGTCAAAAAATACCGCTATATCGATATATTGCAATACAATCATCCATGATACACTGTATCAATACATTTTTGCTCTATTGATATTTGTCTACTTTTATATTATATTCAAATTCAATTGTTAGCTAAACTGTTTGTAAAGACTTCATAATCAGCATATTATTTAGGCTTGCAGTAAACAATAAGCGTGCAAAGACAAGACCAAATTTGTAAAAACAAAGTTAAATGTGTATTCACATAATAAGTCATATTATAGGCTTTGCGGTAAACAATCAGTGTCCAGGACAAAAGTTGTAAAAACAAATAATGTGAAATATTGTGAAATGTGTATTCACTTAATCAGTCATATTATAGGCTTTGCATTAAACAATAAATGTCCAAGACAACAATAAAACTACTCAAAATAAAACTGCTTTGTGATAAAGTCTGATTTTATCGAAGTATTGCAATACTGCAATATATTACAATACTTCTTGTCCAGTATCGCAATATATTACAATAGGATTTTTGGCCGCAATTTCTAGGGATTCATATGCAAAGTTGGAGCTGCAGAATAAAGAACATGTGGAAAGGGAAATAACTCCAGATAGCAAAATATTATTATCCATGCTGCAGGGCCTCCAAAAATTTGCATGTGCTTTGTTTGATAATAGTATCCTCACATGGCTGTGAGTTTAGGTTGATTATGATTAGTAGATCTAACCTATCTAAAATTACACTTTAATTGATAATACTTTATAAGGACTGCTATCTAGATTTATGTATAATGGTTATTACTTGCATCAAATATTTTCACATTAAAGTTTATATGGTACTATGATAGAAATTATAACTTGAAATTAAAATTGATAAAAATAAATTAGAAACCCAATAACCTGCCATTGAAGACACTAACCTACTTTTTATTAAGACTTCAGAGAAAAGAGTTTAAATTGTCTATAATCATCGTAAGATATATAGGCAAGGATAGTTTATGTGGCTCTTGTGACTTGGTCTGAGGTTGTTATTGATTTTTGTGTGTGTTTACATTCTAAGCTGTCTTTTTGTCCTGGGCTTGATTTAAACCAAAGGGTTCTACAGATAATAGAAATATAATAGGCCACACCAAATAAATATTGTTTGTTTGTTTCCATACATAGCAAATTATAGGCTACTGATTTCCTTTTGGTATACATTGGAAAGTTAATGTGTCAGTTTTGACACAATGCATGAGTTTATACAATTGTTCACTTTAGCTGTGTGTGTAAAATCAGAAAAGAAATGAAGCCAGGTCAGCTGCTCAATCAGGTTCCATTTAAGATAAGAAAAATATCACAAAAACCTTGGAAGAATATGAGACCATAGGCTATTTATATAGTTAATACAATTAAATAGATCTACATTATTCATGTATAACTATATACATAATTCCTGGAATAATAACTTGGTTGTAGATTCCTAGAATAATAACTTGGTTCTAGAAATAAAATTATACCCAATGTTAGTCCTGAAATGACCTAGTTTGTGTTGAATGGCTGTTAAAACCAATGTCTCACTCTCCTAGAATGATATTTTGTTTAATATTTATTTTAACACTCATAATGTACAAAATATAGAGATGATAAACAGGAAATAGATGAAAGTAATTTCAACATTTTGACATGGTTTCCTCTTTTTATCATGAAAACATACTGTACCCGTATATACTATCAAACTGCACCTTTTTTTTATTGCCAAATACTGGTATGTAGGATTGAATCAAAGCTATAAACAGAAACATGTATCAATGAATCATTGTAATGAGGGTACCAGTTACATCAATATCAACATATTAAAAGTTATATGATCTGTGGACTTCTATACAACATATTATATTAATCAATTAAACATATTACCACCCACAACCTTTAATAAAGTCAAAGGGTTGAGTGGTAAGTACTTTAGATCATTGAGTCTAGCTGCGTAATTTCAACCCCAAGTTTGTATGTGACAAGAAGTAATGTCACCTGCCCAATCTTCTTGGGATTTTTTTCAGGGACCTTTGGTTTCCTCTCACTGCTAAAAATCAGTTCAGAACTATCTCATTAGAGAGGTAGACAAGGGTTTTCACTATGAATTCATCTGTTGACTAATAAAGTCTTCATATATCTTTAACAATATGGCAGTTGACCTCATGAGCTCTAAAAGATATCTTGCATTTAAATGTTTCACATTGCCTTTCTTTCAAAATGTGGATGAAAAAAAAAAAGAACATGTTGTTTCAAGTGTTATGTCATCATCTGTTAGCTAAGAAAAGGGTGAACTTTGTGGCGTTTCACATTTCATTAATACCTCACAACCTGTCAACCATGAGACTATTTATCTCATTCAACAAGACCCTGCATGTAAGTTGTAACCTGACTTTCAAATATATACTATCTTCAGTAGACTTAGGACTTCACACTACAAGTAATAACATTTGTAGTAGCTGTGCAGAGACATGAAATGACATCAGTGTAATAAATATGAATACTTTTCCATTGCAATAGCTACATAACCCACAACAACCTCTTTACATTAAAGAAACGACACACATTGAGTCAACTCAACCACCCATCTCCCCCAATATCAACAGCAACAAAATCAAGAAAACGTTGTGTTATACAAGACAATTCTCATTTGGAAGAAGAGTTAAATTTTGATGTAAACAAAACAAGCAACCCAGGATAATTCTGCATAGAAGAAGAGTTGATTTTGTAAATTCAGATAAACATAATATACATGTATATCATTTTGATTAAATATCAAAATATTTAAATGAATACTTTTAAATTGATATTTATTGATTTACATACAGTGAAATTGAAATATGCTCTTGATAATTGAAAATATCTTTGCATAAGTATACTCTATATAAATGATAAAAACATGTTTATTGGTAAAAAATACATGCAGATATAGCATGGCCTAATATCTTGTTAAATATCAATTTATGAATATTTGAGATTACATATAAATGCCCTAAAGCTATGTGTGATATTTTAGATTTTGTCATGGCATGTGCTATTACATAGAATCATATGTTATTCTTCTAATCAGTGGATTAGTTGGGAGTTTTAAAAATGTCAGTTTTGTTTTATTACTATCATGACTTTAGAGTTTTGTTGCCTTTTCCTTTCATTTTTGATTTGATCTTAGCAGGTTTGATTATGGGACATCTTCCTCAATGGATCATTTCATAAGAAAATGTTTTATTATGTATGGATTGACGCAATGAGGTTTAACTTTTTTTTATTATCAGTAAAAATGATCTTAGTTGTAGCATGAAAAGAATTTATTTACACAGTTATATAGTAAAACTTTTGATATAATTTTATTGGCAAAATGGAATTGATTGAAAGATAAAGATATTTTGGCTGTTGAGTTAATCGTTGTAGCTTTGACTTTTAATGGCATGTTCAGTGACATGCATAAAATATGAGTGCTTGTGTATTTAAATGTGATAAACGTGTAGTTAGAAGAAATTTTCCAAGGTCAAACCATCGCTCTCTATGTTTTCGACTTATTGATTACCAAAATAGAATATATTTTATTGGCTGTTTTTTTTTTTTTAAAAATATATCTAGACTGTTGTACCAACCAGGACACGACATGAATAACTTTGAAATGTCCTTTCAGCTCAGAAATGATATAAGGACATCCTATTTTGAATTGAATATGTCGAGTTACATAATGTAGTTACATTAATATTGACTATTTATATTTCATATATGTGACCAGCTCTGACTGAAGGATCCTCATGGGTCAAAATATTAATCGAGTTATTCATATATTTGGATTCTATATTGAATTCTGAAGAAAATAAGACATTAAACACAAAATTATCTTGAAAAATGACAAAGTTATGACTATTTTAATGTTGGAAATGTCAATAATTTTCGTCTCACAGTACTTCTATACACTGTACTGAAATATGATGCCGTGCGACATGCAGATCTTTTAGCCAGAGTGAGTTACATATTTTCCAGGCCCAGTTGAAAAGGGAGATTGGGGCCATACCACATTTAATAACCAGGCCCTGAGTTCACAAAGCATTCTCAGACTTAAGTCAAGAATTTAGTCAAAATTGCTCACCTTATTGTAACTAAAGTATAGCCCATTATAAAACTGTTGTTGTTTTAATGTATTAAATACCCTAATAAGAAACTATGTGCAAAGTTTTGTGTTTCTGGATCAAAGATATTTCTTATAAACAGTGATTGAAAGTTGAGTAAATTCTCAACTTAAGTTTGAGAATGCTTTGTGAACTTGGGGCCAGGTCAATATTTACAAAGAAAACAACAGGATAAATGAATAATTGATATTTTTAATCCTGCCAATGTTGAAGAAATAAAACTTGTGTAGATCAAGACATTCAAATATATTACTTAAGTTGCCTCCTGTGTTTAACCATGCCTCCAAAAGGAAAGCAGCCACTAGTACTTCCAAAAGAT